AAAAAAAAAAAAAGAAAAGAAAAATCCCTCGGAATTTATTAAATCACGCTCAGGAATCGGCCATTTTCCGTGATCGAGCCTCCCCGCGTAGACGCGTCTACAATTTCCTCCATCGTTTGGGGAAGGGGTTGTGGGGGATCCCCTGGAAGAAGGGGGGCCGACGGTGACGCGCTGACGGTGGAGGGTCGGAATTTCAAGCCCGCGGGGGCGGCTAGCGAGATATCCGAGAATATTATACCCCGGGAAGCCGTGTAATGAAACCGTTCCCGGCGCCCTCGCGCTATTATCCCCCCTGGCAATATAAGCCGGACAAGGATATAGGTGGCTGATACGTGGCGCAGCTGCACCCCGCCACGCCCTCTCCCTTTTATATCTTCGCCCGCCGCCCCTGCGCAACCAGCCGAAACCCATCCCTTGAGCGAAGATAAGCAAGAGGCGCAAGACCGGGCCGCGCAATGTCAGCGGAATAACGCGACGTCATCGTCATTCGAGGGCCCGCGTAATTGCCTGACCGTTCCAAGAATCGAGCAGCCGCCGCCATCTCGCAACCCTTTCGCCGGCAGAGGCGAGACACTCTTTGAAGGAAGAGGATGGCGGAGTCGATAAGGGATAAGGGATTTCTTTCGCTTCCTTTCAAACAGATTTTTGCTAGCTGTTTTAAAACGATTTCGTTTTAAGGATTGGAAAGATGGCGGTGGTTTTTGGAATTATTGATTATTCCTTGGTTATTAATTGGTATTCACAAAAAGTAAGGAAAAGAGATGAAAATTACTTCTCTAGATTCGTATAACGTATAGGAGACAAGAAGAAGAGGTTTAATATTACTATTTTAATAAAAAAAAGAAAAAAATTAAAGAATTTATAAGATTTGTAATTGAAAAATACAGTCCAATTGGAGGATCTCGCGTATACAGGAGGACACGAAACAGGAAGATACTACGATAGAGAGGTTAAAAAAAGTTAAATAACTCGAATTGTATTTTCTTAGTGGAGTCACATTTTACATTTAAAAAAAGAAATCTTGGCCAATTAAACTCGGACAGATTTTAAAAAAGGATGAAATTTAAGCACGCATTCTTTCACTCTAGGAGACCGAAACGTCGAGGGGATGATTCGACGCTTCGCTTTCGCGGCCCCTTTAATTCGACTAATCGCGCCACGACACGGTTCAGTTTCGGCGAAACTGGTGGATTTCAGGAGCAAACATTTAATTACTGTAAAGAGAATAAACACGGGGACCGAGGGAAAAATCGTCAGGGCGGAAATGTTTGCCCGTCGACGAATTATTTTTCGCCGTGGCGGCTTAATTTCCGCGAAGGTCAAGGGAAACAAAAAATGGAGTAATTGCTAGCCCGCGCTCTTATTCCGCTCGTTCGTCGGCGAAATAAACGAGGGTGGAAAAGCGGAAAAACGAGAGATAATCCCTGCCCCAGCACGCCGCCGGTCTTGTTATCGTTTATGCTCTGGGTGCAACGCTCCTGTAATCTTTTTATTTTACATAAAAAAAAAAAAAAAAAAAAAAAAAAAAAAAAAAAAAAAAAACTACAAATAAACCCACCGAAAATTTTTTTCACCGTCTCTAACGCGAAACGAATCGCATTTTGATTCCCTTTAATTATATTTTCGAATGACTGATAATTTTTTAATTAATATCCCGTGTTTATTTACTTAACCGTAACCGAAATTATCGTGAGGATGTTTATACAAATTCATAGCTTGAAATGGAAGATAAATATAAAAGGTTTATTTCAAATGCACATTTCGTGTTTCGCGTACATTTTGTACATTTTGATAATACGAAAGAAAGGGAAGGAAAAAAAATTGGAATCCAAATTGGAATTACTATGCCCTCTACCAAGGAATGGAGTACACAACAAGCATTAGTTGTAACTTATAAACGACGCGAAACGTTCGAGGGATGCGAGGATATATTCCAAGTTATAATCGAATGGATTCCATCCGACATTCAACGTATTATCGAACGTCATAATCAAGTCGTAATCACGTTAAAATTTCCAATTATCTATAACACATTTCCATCTCCTAAAATCAATCTCAAGTTATCTAAAAAATTTCGAATATCGTTAAATCCCACGAGGGATCTCCATTCTCTCTGAAAATTTAAAAAAGACGATACATAAAACATAAA